GCAATTTTTACAGGTGTGATTTTTGATTCTGAATCCTTGTTTTGTAGAATTTATCTATCAGAAGTCTGGGTTTAAAGGACATTCCTCCACGGATGCTTTCCATCTGCTTCCTGCAGGTCCTTGAGGTTAGTATCAAGCAAGGACAACTTCATGTTTTCAAGTTAGATCTCCTGAACTCCCCCTGCACCCTGCCCCAGCCACCTCCTCTCAATCACAGAAATGATGTGAATTTAGGCTTCAAACTTGTACAAGAATAAGCTTGTTTTGCATTCCCACGGAAGACTTTTATTTCCCAATTTGTACCCCCTATCTAGCTCTGAGGACCTGCTTCTTTTCTTAGTTCATCTTCCGAAGGCGTACACTTAAAGGATTCTGGCATTATGCTGGAGGGAATGGAGTCTTTAACCAGATCTCACTGCAAGGCATAGCCTGAAGTACTTCCCTACACCCTCAACGCACAAAATTAAAATCTGTGCTGTAGGCTAGCAGGAGGCAGCTGAAAACCACTCCTATCCTACCCTCAAGATACACATTTGTGTGGTATTTTATTCTGAATTTGCATTTTGGTGGGTTTTTTTTTTTCTTTTGGTAGTTTCTAGCCTTTCCTTGCCAACCCAATCATGCATTGAAGAAGACTACTCTCTGCAGCATTGTTAGGCATTTCTCTGAATTTCTGGTCAGCCAGATGACTCTGGCTTCTACTTCTTTAAACTAGGAGTCATATGCAGTGGATGAAAGGAGAAGAGTTTGCTAGACAGTGAAAAATGTTTGAAAAAGTTTGAAAATGGGAAAGCAAGTTAGAGAATCACTAAATAATAAAGAAGTGATGTATCCAGGAAAGTTCATGGTATAGGAAAAAATTACTTGATAAGACTTTATAGCACCTAAGCTATACAGTAGTCTCTCATCTGATACATGTTAGCCATATAATCTTAGACAAAGCACATCCCTTTTCTATCTATTTCACTGGAGTTGTGAAGATAAATGTTACAAAGTGCTTTGAAAATACCAATTTCATAAAATATAGGCATTATAATCATGTCTTTTGTTACAGAAATGTATCTGAAACTTTTGCCTCACAGATGATTTCAGGAGAAATAGTGGAAAAAATTTAGTAAATTCAGACAAAAAGTTCATAATCAGTTATGGGTAAAAGTAAAACATTGAACTAAACCACTATTTCCGGTAAACAGTAACTGACTCAGGATATGAGACTTGTCTTACAGACTTTTCTATTTTGTAGAATTTGTTGAAACTAAATTAGCAAAGCCCTAATTAGTATGGGCCATTTGCCATGATATAAAAATAGTTTCATTAAGCAAAACTCTACTTTATGTGAAATCTTTTAGGCAGAAAATAGATTCCAGACAGTACATAATTTACCTCAAATGTTCACCAAAATAAAGTTAACTCCCACATATTAGATGGCTAAATATTTTCTAAATTTTGACCTTTTTAGTGTCATCCAATACCATAATCACCATTGTTCTGATTGCTAGAGATAAAAATATGTAAAACAACTTCTTATCCTCAAGAAATTTCTATTTTAGGTGGTAAAAGTGTGCTTTCCATTTTTGTGGGAAATCACAGAACATAACAAAATCAATTAACCTGTAAGTTGACTTGCATGTTAAAGTATTACCAATATTTAAAAGAATGTATCTACTGGCAGGGACAATAGCATCCACAAATGTATTAAGATTTTGAATTTAATTTTCCTAGCTCTTTTGGCATTTTGATTAAGTCACTGTACTTTATCCTGATTAAGCAACTGGCACTCATAAGACCAAATTGCAAGTAAAAACTTCAATATGTTGAAGATGAACTCATTGATTTTGGCATGCATCACAACACTCCAAGATGGTATACCATCAACTCTCATTAAAAAAAAATTTAGATTCAGGAGGCTCATGTGCAGGTTTGTTACCTGGATATACTGTGATGCTGTCAACTCTCCTTTTAAGTTCCTTCAACATGTTCTAATGGTGGACAGAATCGGTTTATCAGACAGTCTGTTTTAAATATTTAAGTCTTCTCTGGTAAACGTCCAGAAGTGTGAACCCTTCTCTGGTAAAGCTCATGTCCTACTGATACTGCCAGAGTTCAATATGTGTTTTTAGATTAGTGTATATATAAGGTTTGGTTTTTCCCTCTCAACTCTTGGCTTCCAGGAGGTTAAGTATGAGACATTGAGAAGCTTAATTGTTTAAAAAGGGCTACATTAGTCTTCTTAATTCCATTCACGTGTAGCTGCCAAAAAAAAAAGGTAGTTTTAGGCAATTCTTAACTTTTCAAAAACAAAATGAGTTTTAGAATATCTACCAAAATTATTCAAAGTAGTATTAGTTTGCTTTACTAACTTTTTATACTGATCCATGGTTCTTTATAATTAAGTCCTTACTGAGAATCAGAAAAAACAAATGCTTTAAACAAGTGAAAAGTAATATGGAATTAGTATTTAATATAGCATACAGTAAAGACAGAGTGAGTTGGTAATCAAGTTACATAACTACTCAAAAAAGATATAGGGGCTTTCAGTTAAAAAAAAAATTAAGCATCAGTTAAGTCTTATATTTGTCACCACATAGGCTTTCCCTGCCACTTTGCTATAATATGAAGAACTCACTAGGAAAAACTTCATTAATTCAGAATGATCAATGGAAAGTATACTTCCAGTTGTATGGAATTGATAAAAAAATGTGAACTCAAATACTCTCTTAAATATAAGTTCCTGGTGATTTTATCTAACGAAAAGAGAAATGATTTCTGGTTAAGAGATCTCCTTTCAAAAAATTGACAATTTGTTCTCTTAAGCACAATGGTGTCCTAAAATTGTTAATTCGATTATAAAAAGATGAGGATAGACAAACAACTCACACATTTTTAAGCAGACATTACAAAGGAAGAAAGCTTTATCCCAGCTTCTTTTCCAAATCATATTTTCCAGGTTAATAGAGTTTTATCATCACACAAACGAGATTCACTTAACAGGAAAACTTTTAGACTTTAAATTCTTCCTCACTAGCTTGGAGTATTACATCAAAAGTCTGAAGACCCAATCTAGATTCTCTATTTTATGCTATATAAGCCTACCTTCAGAATTTTGAGCTTAAATATGGATCCTTTTTTGTGATGTTTATCCACTTTGTGTTTACCTGCGGGAGCTACTGACTGGGAGAGGGTAACAAGAGAAACTTCAGGGACACTGAAAATGCTTTATATGTTAATCTGTGTGGTGGTAACACGGGTGTATACAGCAGTAAAATTTCATCTAGCTGTGCATTTAAGATTGTGGACTTTATGGTATATGTTATACCTCTAGAAGTAAAAAAGAGTGTTTACCCACTTTATGAAATGCCTACCAACTATTTTACAGTGAATTATTCATATGATTTTGTAAATCAAGATGTATATGGAAAAAGTCATCTGATGCTTCTCGCATAAGGATTGCTAGTCACTTTTCAGGTAAACAACTGAAGCTAGAGTAAAGGCTTCAGTGTTGAGAAGGCACTAACACACTATCTGAAATGGTGGCAGGAAGATTATAATGTATCAGTTTAAGTATAAAGGGTAGCAGTGTTATAATAGCTTAAACAACAACTAGAACATCCCCAAATAAGTTACACGACTATGGCGTCATCATTTGATTTGTGACAACCTATGCTTATTTCTGCTTACGGTTTGGGTTTCTGTCTTTGTATTGCTTGGACTTTCAAAGAATGGAGAAAGAAAAGAATAAAAGTTAAATTAGTATTGTGTGTGCTAAACAGTTGACATTATGGCTGATTTTTAAATTATGCATTCTACTTCCCATGTATTTAAGGAGAAAAGAGTTGGTTTATCCAGAAAATATAAACACTTAACACACGTCTTTTTTTTTTTTTTCACTTTTGCTTGGAACTACATTAATAATCATCACCTCAAAAAAAAAGCCTTTGAGAGGATTAGCTGCATAGGCCAATATTATTCTATATTAGTCTGTATTAAGCGTATGACGTCACCTTGCTTTCTCCCCTTCTCAAGCTTTTCTTTTGGGTGGAAGGAGGACTTTTTTGGGGGAAAATCTTAAAATATTATGGCTTAAATACCACAAGCTGACACCCGATTGACACCTTACACTCCCAAACCTGTTTGAAATGGGTCAATACCTAAGCGCTGCAGAACAATGCAATCCAACCCGCAATTCCCCATAAAAGAGAAAGGGGGTGTGATTAGGTTCCAGATATTAAGCAAGTTATTGCAAAAACAGTTTGGTGGTTTTGTTTCTGCAATAGGCACAGGTTGAGCTAGTATTTTTTCCCCCTTAATTAGCTCCAAAAAAGACTATGCTATAGGAGGTAGGATAAACCGCTAAAGCCTGAAGCAACTGGGGCAAACATTAAGGGGTTTATGGAGGTCCTTATCCTGATCCTCTGCATTGGTTATTGATCATCAACCCTGCTGGGGAACTATCGAACGGAATTTGTGTGAGGCTTATCTAGCCACAGGAAAGGAGATGCAGGAGGGAATATAAGCTTCTAATAAAAGAAACGCAGCAACAATAGCAGAGGAACAGCTCTGCCTGGTGACGTAATGGCTGGCAGCAGTCCAGCTTCAGTAGAGCTGCTGCTACCTCAGCACCCAACCTCCCTCAACACAGTCCGGCTTCGGCAGAGCCACCGGGGCTGCTACTTCTTGCGAAGCCACTTTGTTGATGCCACCAACGCCTTACCTCGGAGGGCCAGAACACCGAACAAAGGGTTCCTTCCGTTGCTGTTTTAAGTTGTTTGACACAAACACTCTCACCCCCTGGCCCCAGACCCCTCAGTAACCGAGCCAATCAGTCGCTTAAGTTTAGGGCGAAAACACCGGCTCACACTCCAGGTGTGCCTCAGTTTCCCCAGGCTGGTTTCGAGTACGCCTCTCATTGCCACCCCCGCCCCCGCCGGTCCTCAGCTGGAGTAGATCCGGGCGGCCCCGCGCACCCGCCCGGGCCCTACATGCCGGCCCTCCCGCCTTACCTCCGCCAGGTAGAGGTTGAGGAGACAGAGCGTGGAGAACTGGAGACAGGAGGGGAAGCAGTAGAGCAGCCAGTGGGGGAAGAAGTGCAGGTGAGCGGGCGGCCGGAGCAAGGGCAGGGAGCCGCTGAGCGAGAAGGCGGCGGAGAAGAGGGTGGTCCTGAGCGCTGCCCACAGGAGACAGAGGAAGAGGCAGAGGCTCTGGTAACTCAGCCGCCGCTCCCGGTACAGGAGCAGCCGCCACAGCTGCAGGTAAGCAAAGGCAAAAAGCGCGGCGTAGAGCAGGGCGTGCAGGACGCTCAGCGCCAACTGCACGGAGCCCGGCACCGCGGCGCCTGAGGCGGCAGCTACGGCTCCTCCGCCTCCTCCGCCGCCGCCGTCGGGCGTGGAGGGCTCGCGGCCGGCCGCGGGGGCGGCAGTGGCCGCCGGGCCCGGCACGGACACCCTCATCAAGGGGCTGAGGGTCGGGCGAGCGAGCGCGGGAAGGAAGGGGCTGGACTCGGAGCCGCCGTCGAGGGGGAGAAGGACTGCCCCCTTACCCCCCACCCACCCCAACCTCTAACCCCAGGAAGCGCCGTGACGGGACCCGGAGTCCCGCGCAGAGCAGCCGCGGCTCCCCCCGACCCCGCCTCCTCTTTCCCCCACCCCTCCCCCGGGGGTCTCGGCTCCGGCAGCGGCTCGGCTCCGTAGCTGCAAAAAACAACTCTCGGCTGGAGACAATCAGCTGAGAAACCCGAGCATTTGAGGCGCTCGCTCCGCACTGTGGGCTCGCGCCGATTGGCCCAGGCGGGCACGCCCCCCGAGCGCCGCACTCGGAAGGCCACGGGCCGCAGGGCCCGTCGCTCGGTGGCCCCGAGATCTGATTGGGCACCTACTTTCCCTACTTTCTCCCTCCCCTTTACTTCCCACCCACGCTGCTGATTGGCCCAGCTACTGCACCGCCCGTTCGCGCCGGCGGGAGGACTCTGTCATCGTCTGTCACTCTCGCTCCGCCCCCGGCGCTTCCCATTGGTTAGAGAGTCCCCCGCGTAGGGAACACGAGGAGAAGGAGGAGCTTTCAGGTTTGTTTTTTGCTCTAAAGGCCGATTGTGTCGAGCGGGAGGCGGCCGCAGGCTGGGTGGGAGCCGTGCTGCGTCTCCGCAGGTAGGCGAAGTGGTTCCCGGCTGCCCGGCTAGCCTGGCACGGCCTCGCCTTCTGCCTCCTCCGTCGCGTCGCGGCGGGAACTGTTGGCCGCGCGGCCTCGAGAATGGCCCGGGTCCCCGCCCGCAGATCCTGGGCAGGTAGGTGACAGCGCGGGTCCTTCAGGCTTTGGGCTCCGCCTGCAGACCCCGGGGTTCAGACCAAGCAGCTTTCTGTAGCAGGGCTGTACGAGCCTGACTTAGGACACCCGCCTCTGGGGCACCGAAGGGCCTCACCTGGAGCTTCCTGACGGCGTTTTACCTTCTCTTTTCGCTTCTTGACTGGCGGGGAAACACTGGAGCCCTTTCTGTGTCAAGGCGACGGGGAGATCCGGAGCTCTTAAGTGAAAGACCCTTTCCTCCCAAGGGAAATGTCTCTTAAGGAAGAATGGTAGTAGTATCAGATGGATGTTGAAGCGATGTGACCAAGGTGAAGCTGGTTCTTTGAAATTCAGAATTTGGGAGGATGCTCTGGGCTTAAGTTTTGGGGAAAAGGCAGAAAGAGTCTTGGAAAGGAAAAGTATTCTGTGCTGTTTAAGTTCCACATATATTCAAGCCTTGGTGGCGCTATTCCTGGGGCCGTGAGAGAAAAATATATGCTATGTTACTGCTGTAAAGAAGTGAGGAATAGGCCGGGCGCGGTGGCTCACGCCTATAATTCCAGCACTTTGGGAGGCCGAGGCGGGTGGATCACGAGGTCAAGAGATCGAGAACATCCTGGTCAACAAGGTGAAACCCCGTCTCTACTAAAAATACAAAAATTAGTTGGGCATGGTGGCGCGTGCCTGTAGTCCCAGCTACTCGGGAGGCTGAGGCGGGAGAATTGCTTGAACCCAGGAGGCGGAGGTTGTGGTGAGCGGAGATCGTGCCAGCCTGGGTAACAAGAGTGAAACTCCATCTCAAAAAAAAAAAAAAAAAAAAAGAAGTGAGGAATAAACAGATTGACTAACGTATATTGGACCAGCACATAGTTGTTGATTGCTTTTCTTCCCTGTTTTGGAATAAAATTAGCTAATAGTGCAAAATTAAGAGGAAATAATTTGTTTTCTTTAGAATATACAGCACATTACGAATTCAGTATCCGTTGAAAGACATTCGTTGCTTGGAGCAACCAAGACCCAGCTTTTCTTACCTCACCATCCTTTGTCCTATGCTTTTTTTTTTTTTCCTTTCTTCATGCAGGGTCTTGCTCTGTCACCCAGGCTGTAGTGACAGCTCACTGCAAACCTCCACCTCCTAGGCTCAAGCAATCCTCCCACCTCAGCCTCCCAAGTAGCTGGGACTACAGGCATGCGCCACCGTGCCCACCTAATTTTTTTTCCTATATGTTGCCCAGGCTGGCCTTTGCCCTATGCTTTGCCCAAGAAGAGTGTTGCTCTCTTTTTTCCTGACTAAATATTCCACAGGGAACTTTAAAGTTCATTTTGTACTCTAGATTCTGAGACAGTAGTTTGTCTAGGTACCAGATGCTAGTGTGGTTTGGGTTCCTTATAGGTAAGCTGACAAATTGTGGTAGATATACAGGCCTGGCACTGTTACATAGACATCCCTCAGATGAAACATTCAGCTGAGCAGGTAGAGAGTGCAGTGTACCAAAGGGTATGGCTTGCTCTAAGAAGTTAACATGCCGAATCCAACATTTATCATTTGGAGAAGGATTTATTTTTATTGGAACCTAAGAACTTCCTCTCATGTATTTTTAGAGAATGTGGTCAGGGCAGTACACAGTTTTCTTCAAATAGGAGACAGGATGCTCATGACTGCAGTGAGGTAATTGATTGCAGTAATATGCTGAAACATTTAGATTAAGCATAAAATCAGAGTTCTGTGATTTTAGGCACTTGTGAAAATCAAGGGTGCCACATATTCTCTGGCATGGCCTATTTGCATCTTCTATAATAATTGAGGTGCACATTTCAAGTCATCAATAGACTTTTATTACAAAAGCGTTTTTCTTTTTCTCCTTTATTCTCTGCTCAACGTGATAGTAAACATCTGGATAGTACCCATATTAATTTTAAGTCTTTGCCTGTGAGACTTACCTACCACCTGCCGTTCATCAGTAAGAGCAAGTCTGGGTAGCCTCCTCCGTTCTGCTTTTTCTGGGGATGAGAGTATGTCTGGTGGGGTGGGGAGTGAGGGTGCACATAGAGGATTTTCCTCTTAACTGCTTTGAAAAGACTCTAAAGGGGAGAGTTGTTGACTCCTTTTATTGCCTCTTTCAGTCTGAAATGATAAACTGTATTGAGATCTAATCAACATTTTATTTGAGACTGGTTCAGTGAGCAGGTTCTGTTCTCCAGTAGTAGCATTAAACTGCAAGTAAGCTGACTTCAGACGAATGTTCTTACAGGAACTTTGTAAGTATTATATGCTCCATTTGTTGCAAAATATGAAGTGTGTCTTTTACCTGAGTATGATGCCCACAGATGTTGATACAATTTATTTGATAGTTATAGTTGTTAATTTCCTCTTTTTCCTGAGAGGGAAAGCTATTAAATTTATGGTTCGTAAGGGAATATTAGGCCGATAAAGGGGGAACTAACCAAAGGTTTCCTACAAAAGCTTGGTGTCAGCTATTCCAAAATTTAAACATGTCCAAATGCATAACGATTTAATATTGTTGTTCCAAGAGGATAGATGACCCTAGCACAGTAGTCTTTCAAACATTTAAAAGCAGAACTGTTTGTCAATTATTATTGTATACAGTACCCTACACCAAAATGGGATTGGTGGAGCTAATGAGGGCTACCAGCTTTTCTACCCGCCTAAGGAACACAAAGGCAAATCCTCATACTGTTTCCTTACTACCAAGAAGACTAGTGTTTTCTCTTGAAGTACTTCCTCCTTGATGTGCTTTGGAGCTTAATATTTGGATGCTGAACAGTACATTTTAGCCATTTTTCTTTTTCTTTTCTTTTTTTTTTTTTTTGAGACGGAGTTTTGCTCTTGTTACCCAGGCTGGAGTCCAATGGCGTGATCTTGGCTCACCGCAACCTCCACCTCCTGGGTTCACGCAATTCTCCTGCCTCAGCCTCCTGAGTAGCTGGGATTACAGGCACGCACCACAATGCCCAGCCAATTTTTTGTATTTTTTTTTTAGTAGAGACAGGGTTTCACCATGTTGACCAGGATGGTCTCGATCTCTTGACCTCGTGATCCACCCGTCTCGGCCTCCCAAAGTGCTGGGATTACAGGCTTGAGCCACCGCGCCCGGCCGCTTTAGCCATTTTTCTACTGTTATCTCACCAAGCAATTCTTACAGTGCTGTTACCCTCTTGTATTAGTCCTTAGTTACATGTCACTCATTCTTTCCATTATTTAAATGAGCTGTGTGTACATACTTCTTTAGAGTTAAGGGATGAGACAAAACTTACATGTTATATGCCAACTCTGATCCATGCCAGCAGGAACATTATACTGAAGAATTGAGAGCCTCTTCTAGCCCAAAGGGTCAATGTCTACATGTAGTTGGGAGGTATATCTGTAGTATTGGCAGACATTCTGTAGTTATGGAAAACATTTACCTATGACTTTCCCCTTCTTTTTGTATTGGCGTCTGTTGTGGTAATAGTCAATTGCATTTTAAAGAGTCATCTTCTTTAGAATCTTCCTACAGTGGAATTGGGTCAATTTCCTATGAATTCTTTGAAATATCTTGCTTTAAAATCTAGGATATAGATTTTATGTTCAAGTCACAATCCTTTTACCCATTAGTAAGACCAGGTGTACTGATAGTGCTAGACTAGGTTATACTGTGGAAACAACCCCGAAACCTTAGGAGTTTAAAATAATTATTTAATTTTTTTATTATTATTTTTTTCTGAGACAGAGTTTCAGTCTTGTTACCCAGGCTGGAGTGCAGTGGCGCTTTCTTGGCTCACTGCAACCTCTGCCTCCTGGGTTCAAGCAATTCTCTTGCCTCAGCCTCTCAAGTGGCTGAGATTACAGGCTCCCACCACCTTGCCCAATGAATTTTTTGTATTTTTAGTAGAGACAGGGTTTCATCATGTTGGCCAGGCTGGTATCGAACTCCTGACTTTAGGTGACCCTGCCTCAACCTCCGAAAGTGCTGGGATTATAGGCATGAGCCACCATGCCTGGCCTGATAGTTAATTTTATAGTCACACCGGATCAGCTGGGAGCTTTCCCCATGTTGTTCTCTTTCTGGGACTTGTGCTGACAGCAAAGGCCTAATTTTGAGTGTTATCAGTCATCATGGCAGAGGGAAAAATGTATTGTGATTGATTATACATGTATACATGACTCTTAAAGGTTTCCAGAATGTGAAGTGAAATGTCACCTCACATTTCATTGACCAAATCAAGTCATGGCTATACTTAAGTGATGGAAGTGAGAGGTATATTTTAACGTGCAGAGAACTAGAAACATTTGATGAACAGTCCTCTCTTGTCAACAAATACTTTCCTTCCTATACGTAGTTCATCCTTGGCTTTTCTTGGTGGCGATAATTCAAAATTCCCATCTTCACTGTGTGAAGCCTGATGTTCAGAATCTCTGAGTAATGCCCAGCAGTGGTCATCGCTATACTGGTCTAGATAGAATTTATTTGTTTCCCACCC